TAAGAATTAAATGTAAACGCAACTGAGTGAACAAAATGAAACATAAAATAAATCACAGATCTATAAAATAAAATGGAAACGACAAACAATTTCGAGAATTTTGATGCGTAAAATTAAACTTTAAACGACTTGTTCTTTTAGAGTATCCTTGACGTGCAAGGTTAAAAGGCATGAGGGAATTCTCATAATACAGCTTCCATCGATAGAGTTATTTGGTTAAATCGCTTCCAGTTATTACTACTCCAAGATACGCTTCGCCAGCAATAAATCTGAGTCATAAAAATACGAAACGAACGCGGACAGTCGAAACTCTTCCCATCTTTTATTGTATAGAAGTGGTGTCACAGGATAAAGATATACAGTACGATAACGCTATCAAAATCATTGATCTTTTACAAATGCCTCGATTTACGATTATATTTTTTTTCTTTTCAAACTGTAGGTATGTTTGTAATTATTAAAAAGTATTTCCTGACTAGCTGTTATATTTTGCATATTATTATGTATATGTGTATGCATAGCTGTGTGTGAGTCTCACATAAAAGAACAGCAAATAGAAAGATGGGATTGTGGCTGCTTATTTTGAAATAGCTAATTTCACCTTTAGCAAGCGTTAGTCATTACTTATTTCTACTTCGTGCCTTTATTCATTATACTGTCGTAGAATAATTTACATAACATAATATCACGCATTTTATCCCCGCACATTATGCCACTGTACAATGTAACACCCACTTTTCACTATTTATGTTATGAGTCGCATATAATAATGGATGAGCTTATACCGGCACAGTTCCAGACTCGGTGCTACAACTGATATTTTTTAAAACCCATTAATACTTTTCCCAAATTGAACCCCAGACCTTGCAGTCGGCCAACGAGGCAGTCGCAAGCAGTAATTTACATTAAAATTTATGCATTTAATTTTAATAATTCTTTTCTAATAAAATCTATGGTTCTTTATGTTTACTCTGTGACGTGACCGAATAGAGAGATGCTTTTCAGCACTACTACACAAGGACCTACTTTTTTATTCTTTTATCATATTACGCTAGTATTCTTTATACCACTTTTGTTTCTATGATGTTTATTTGGTAACGAAATGTACTCTTACATTTATTTGGTTGGTTTGTTACTATAAGATATTTGGTAAATTGTCCGACCCTTACAAGAGTGCTTATAATTTTTCTGACAAAAATCTCCTTTGTGTCTTTATGAGATTAAATAAACAAGTTTTCTCGTATTGACATTTAAAGAAAACTCCCTTAGAAATATTACTATTAATTTAGTATCTTATTTAAGTAAGGTCACTGTTAGATCTGATTTATGTTTAAGTACAATAGCTTACATTACAAAAATACAAAATTGATACTTTCTTTGTCGCGGAGAACCTAACGGGTTACCGGGGCTCCAGCTCGACGTGCAGGAGAAGACCCGGGGTGGTTTTTAGTCAGTAAGAGTCTGACACTCCCTCCCGCCTCACCCAGGCGGGAGCAATCATTCGATGATTATCCCCCCTTAAAAAAATACTTTCTTTAACGATTCTATTTAACCGAAGCTTACTTGATTTGTGAGTGTATTACTGCAGCGGAGCAAGGAATACATGATCTAGTTCTAGTTCCACGTAGCATGCATTCAAATTATAGATACTGCCAAACATTTTGTTTATCGGAAACAACTTTATTGAGGTTGCATGCGCTATTTGGGTTCAACTCTAGTATTCTAGCTAGATCGTGTTGTTTTGGATTCAAATCAATGTTTTGTGGATGTATTGTTACCTATACCACTGTAGTTATATAAATGGGTACTTTCCTTTATCAAAAACAGATTATTTCGACTGTTCAACTCAATAAAATATTAAAAAATAATCTCCCTATCATTAATTGATTTTATGACCAATGTAATTTGAGTATTTTTCCAGCAAATTTTTAAGAAATAAGCATGCTGTTTGGCGTTATAAAACGTGACGTCACTATAAACAATCTCGTACAAATTTCACAGAAAACCGTAGTTTTTGACAGTTCGAAAAAAAGTACTGAATTTGACTAGTTGGCAAGTGCCCAATTCTTCAATTTCCCAATTTTTCAGTGCTTAAATAAATTTTAACTAAGGAATTACTTTCAATAAGTGACAATTCTCCCATACTGTCAATTTCATTCTACAGTTAAAAATTAACTGATGATTGAAAAATCAATTGGGTACTTGCTACCCAATTGCGTATAGCAGTTTGATTAACGTTTAGTAATATTGTAGATTTTTTCTTTGGTGACGTCACTATGAATTGTATCCTTGTTTCTTCAACACTCGATAACTGGAAGGCTGCGCAATTTAAGTTATACTTAAATATGACAATATCGTCTCTGCATGTACAACTATTTGGGCATTATTATAACCGTTAAGCTTATCAGTATTAGTATGGTATATGGATACACTGTAAATTTTGTTTTACGGCACACAAAAATCTAGTTAATATTATGTTGAGTAACAACATCATATTAACTAAATTTAATGCCCAAAATTATAGTACCTACCAACTTTAAGTGTGGTAATGCCATGCTTCGGTACGATCATTCGTATATGATGCTGATACCACGGTCTCGCAGAAAACCGACGTGAAACAACGCTTGCGTTGTGTTTCGTCGTGTGAGTGAGATACCGGAGGTCCAATTTACCCTTCCTATTCTCTCCGATCCTCAAATCCCCAACAATACTCAAATGGTATGGTACTGGTAATGCACTTATAATGCTACTGGTGTTTCGGTTGTCCATGAGCGGCGCTGATTTCTTATCATCAGGTGATACGTCTGCTCGTTTACCAGCTTATACCATAAAAAAGAGACTACTGTAGCCTCATATTCAGGAATAAATAGACTTAATGCATCCATTAGAGGTTTTTAAAGAACACCAAATAGATAAGAATAACAAGAAACCATTAAAGGAACAAAATTCATGTATAGGTATTATTATCATACCCGAATATCTGTTTCTGGTATTATCAACACATCCTGAACCTCAATACGAACACAATCCACGTTTGCTATTACGTTCTAGTAAATCAAAACAAGGAAAAATATGAAGTAAGCTAGATAACCTAAAAATTCACAAAATGGGAAAATTCTGGATATTTCGGGAGCTAAAATAATTTGCATTGCAGGGCGGGTAGTATTTCCACCAAAATCGTTGTTTGCGAACCGCACAGCTCTACGGTAATGCAAAATTCCGATAAAACACTGATGTTTGAGTTTCATTCGATAGTTCCTTATTTCTTTTTAGCCAGTTTCTTTAGGGTTCGGATTACTGACCGTTATTCAGAATTTTGTACAAAGTAAGAGGTCTGATAAAAAATGAATATCATCATCATCATAACATCACGCCTTTTATTCCCGAAGGGGTAGGCAGAGGTGCTCATTATGCCACTGTACAATGTAACACCCACTTTTCACTATTTATGTTATGAGTCCCATGTAATAGGGGGTGAGCCTATTGCCATATACCGGGCACAATTCCAGACTCCGTGCTACTACTGAGATTTTTTTTAAAACTTAGTAATACTTTGCCCGACCCGGGAATCGAACCCGAGACCCCTTGCCCGGCAGTCGCACTTGCGATCACTCGGCCAACGAAGCAGAAAAAAATGAATAATGTTGTTGAAAGCTAATACAAGAGTAATAAAGTATTAAATATGTGTATGATAATCATATCATACACATATTTTTTTAAAAATCATGATAATATTAGCTACCGGGTTTGAATCAAAAAGGGATTATTCTACTCAAAGGCTGTGTGTTTCAATTGGGATGATGACAGGGTATGAAAATGAAAAATATAATTAGTCGGTCTGTTAGGTAATGTAAAAATATTAAACATGTATTTTTTTTACCTTGTCGTATATCAAAACAATACTTAGATAAAACGAATCAGTGTTTAGGAGTGCAGGCTAAAACGTCATTTCTACATTTAATATGTGTATAGAAGTAACGTGACGCGACATTTCAAATCAATACATCGTCGAAAGTATTCGTTTCTGTAAGAAAATTAAAAATACGTGTCTTATGATTTTAAATAATCTACCAGACGGACATTACAATAAAAATTAGGCATCTACCCTATTGTAAGTTCAATGATGTAATTTAATTAGGTTCATTGTTATTTTTTTAAATAAAATACCTAGGTATATGGCAGAGATATGCATATTATACATATCAGTCTTTGTAAAGATGAACATTAAATAAATCGACACTGAATTTCATCAATGTCAATGTGGTCGTGACCTCGAAAACCGATCAAGCATGATATTGATTGACTCAAAGAACTCCAAAGGACCCGTATTTAAACAGACTCTGTCGTCTTTACAAAAAATATTTTGTTGTATTTAGAAAATCCTTTTATTCTATAGGTATTTAAAATAATGCTAAAGGAGCAATATTGTAAGTCGTACCGAAATTAATTCAGCATTTTTGAATTCACAAAACGCTTATTTGAATACAAAATCATTGATTCTGTTTTTTGAATTTAAGTAGGACCTGTTTTTACCATGTTTCGATACTTCAACCTTTATTTTTTACAAAAGGCGTAGCGGCTCCGAAAAATGTTTCGGAGTAACATCGAAACACAATTCGCCATTCAACATCCCTTCGGCGTTTTATCTATTCAAATATTTCTTTTACAACTACATAAGTACGAAAATATAGACGAACGAAATATAAAGCTGTCAAACCTCCGTCTAGAAAACTCAATAAGATTCCAAAATAAAAATCATGAGAAAGTGAAATGGCGAGGATTTAGAGAAAAATAAACACGCTCTTTATATGTCAACTTCGATCGAAACTGCGTCTTCTACCACACAAACGCGACCAGCTCTCGAAAGACATAAATATACTAAAACTCGAGAGCACCCTAAGATTCTAAAATTAACATCCCCTTAATTAAAACTACAATCATTGTTACTAAACCGGAATCAACTTTGTTTCGCTGTTCCTAAAGTTCTTTTTTCTTTGTAGTTCCCCGTACGGTGTTAAAGGAGAGGTACGAGAGTGCCCCTGAAGAGGATGAGGTTGCTCACGACGTGTCCGATCTTGAACACGATGAAGTCGGTAAGTGCTTTTTATTTTTTTAAATCTATTAAGCCGGCAGACGCTTGGTACTTGGCAGAAGGAACTGCTCAAAACGCTATATTTAGACGAAGTTGTTAAGAGTCAATCAGTTCAAGTGACTACCAATTATAAGCCACCAATTTTAGTTCGAGAATAAACAGGTGCTGTGTTAAAATATGTAACTTGAAGTTTTGAAGTGCCTTCAATAAAAACATAAGTAGCAAGGCTTTATGTCAGTAGTTGGACATAACGCAACATGCTAGTCTGGAATTTCGGTGATAATAAATTAAGGATGGACTTTGTCTGGAAGCCTTAGATAACAAGCTATTACTCCGTAATAAAACGTAGACTCATTACTTTAGATGAAGCCAGGCTATAAAGTAGAGCAGCAAAAATAATGTTTCAAAAACATCATGTGCATAAAAGTTTGGTTTACCAAATACATTTTAATCAACAGATAAAACATTGTTTTGTTTAACCCGCAGGGGCTATCCGCAATCAGGAACACGATCTATCTAACTCTGGCTATCAAAATAATCACGCCACAACGATCTGTTGATGCGGAACACTTAAATAAATGACAGTCATCAGGGCTGACCATAAACATGGTTGAAAAACTACAAACTTTGGTGTTCCCAATGAACTAGAATGGGCCAAAATGTGTAAGGTTTATGGTCGACCCATAAAGGTGTTGTGCTATAAACTTTGTTTGGATAATTCACAATGTCGGTAATCTTATCCCGTTGTATAAATTTTCCCTGTCAAGTGCTTTCGTTGTTCGCTGGAAGTTTGAGCTACTAGAGGTGTTTTCGATAGGTACCCAGCTCTAAGTGCGTTGTTATCGGTTGAAAGTGTTTAAAACTTTGAAATCTGAAGTAAATTTTTGAACAGTACTTATTTAGTTCACATTTAGGTTCTGTTGTTTAGGGAAAATTGTGTTATATTGAATTTTGTCGTAAATTTTACTTTTTTAAATGTATTAGTCATTTGTTTGATAACTCGTTCAGTATTATCAATGTTATAACATAACATCACGCCTTTTTATCCCCGAAGGGGTAGGCAGAGGTGCACATTTCGGCACTTAATGCCACTGTACAATGTAACACCCACTTTTCACTATTTATGATATGAGTCCCATGTAATAGGGGGTGAGCCTATTGCCATATACCGGGCACAGTTCCAGACTCCGTGCTACTACTGACATTTTTAAAAACCCAGTAATACTTTGCCCGACCCGGGAATCGAACCCGAGACCCCTTGCCCGGCAGTCGCACTTGCGACCACTTGGCCAATGAGGCAGTTATCAATGTTATCTATGGTGTTATAATGCAGCATTTTGGGTCTGCTAAATATATTATTCACTTATTTAACATTTAGTGCACGTAATAATACGTTACCGCATTCAGTTGAATCATAAAATCATTTAAGTGCTATTAGTCTATAAGATCCGTACAACTTGAAACTTTATAGCTAATAAATTTAAGGCTGTTATTTAGATATAGCACAGTGGAGTTTACTACATAGGCTTCAACAATGGATTTATTATCATAGCTAAATTAAATCCATGAAATCAAAGTCTCTACATCAACAAGAAGAGGGAAGGGGGGAAGGGATGTTTATAAATTGAATGTTTGTCTTGAATTGTGATTTGAAGTAATGTAGGTACGGAGAAAATTCTTTTAAAATTACATCGCATAATACTGTACTATTTGTACTAAGCTCATCTTACCTTATCAATCAGATTATATGATATGATAAGCTTAGTATAAGTAGTATTATCGTGCTAAACTTGATACTACAAAAACAAATCGATATTAAATTAGAACAAGATCGTAAGGCGCAGTTAGAAACACTTAATGAACTCATGTCTTAGACAAAAAATTCCAAAAACCTTATGTAAAATGTATCGGCAACTATAAAAGTTTATACTTAGACACAGACAGGCCAGACAGAAACTTAAAATTAAGTTTAAGTACTGTTTCAACATCCAAGCACTAATAAAGTTTAATTGACATTAAGAGACATTAACCCCGAAACTTGAAAGAGAACTTCCATTAAAGTTCAGACTTAGTTTTTCTTTCTGGCTCCCTCTATTTAAATTAAATCTATCAACTCCCGGTAGAATATGAGGTAAGCATGAGATTACAATCAAAATCATCCCCGCTAAGTGTATTATCTAACATTTAAAGTGTATGAGATGAGACACAAACGAAGAAATTTGCTTAATCCGTTCTTAATTTGGACTCCAGCAATCTACGAGGATTTGTTTGGCTTCGCGTCAGGGCGCTTCTTTGCTTTGTCAGTGTGAAAACGGATTATAGGATAAAAGGTTTTCTTGAGATGGGGCGCTCGTGACGACTCATATTCTAACTCTATTAGTAATTTTGTTAGTACGGGTTTGTAAAAATGGAGCATGATATTTGGGATGATTGGTTTCCTATTTACTCTGATTTATTATTGCTTTTTGTATTTGTGTTACAAATAATATTTATTTGGCTACAGAAGAGTAATGTTGTTTGTTGTTCCATTACTTGCTTGTTAGCAATGTGGGAATCTCGCCAACTTAAGTTTGTGTGACTCTCATTATCTTCAGCTTGCATTAAATATTCACCCCTCCGTTTCAAATTAAACTACAATTATGATGATGTCCATCCCTAGTCATATTTATTCTTCCACCAACCCTTAATACTCGCTAAGATGCCCAGCGGCGACGACTTAAAACTTCTCTGCATTTTCCTTCAAGATCAAAATGGAAATTTTAATATTGTCGGTAAAATTACCGGTATCTCTTCAAGGTGCGGCGTTTCGAGTTTAACTTAGTGCGGAAGGCAATTGCTTTCCTTCTTCCATTGAAATGTTCAACTTGCTGTCTCGAATCGACGTTTATTAAGTTTGGTCTGACAAGAAAAGTTGTGCAAAGTAGCTGAAGCAATCGTATTATGTCTACAACTTCATATTTTATGTTATCAACCTCTTATCTAAAGTTGTCTAGTGATGTTGCTGAATTTTTGGTCTTGTATTGATAAAAGTTCTTTCTTTTCTTTCGGTTATTTTTGGGTCTACTGTTTGCATCACATGTTAGAATTTCTTAATTAATACTATCATTTGGACTGCACGGTTGGCGCGGTGGTTGGGCAACTGACTGCCCCACAACGTGTCAGGGGTTCGATTCCCGCACGGAACAACTCTTTATGTGATCTACAGATTATTATTTCGGGTCTGCGTGTTAGGTGTATGTGAACTTCTATGTTTTTAACCGCACCCACGACACAGGAGAAAACCCAAGTGGGGGGCAACGTTTTTTTTTAAATGTGAAAGTAGTTTCTACACTTATCATAATTTCTAATTATAAGTTTGAAATCGTTAACCCGTAATGAGCAAGTGCGTTGATTAATGCTCAAACCTTCACCGTGTAAGAAGAGGCTTTGCTCAACAGTTATGCTTTGGGCACTTTTAGGCTGTTGATGATGATGTTTCCGTCGTTTTCTTTTTAGAATAGTGAGCTGCTTGCGTATTGTGCTTGTGTGTGATTAATTTTATCATCGCATTACAAAACATGGTTTACGCAGAGCCATCTAAACTCCAGTCTATTCTAATTTATGTTGGGGATGCAACGTTTTTTTAAGTCTGGTTGTCAGATGTTCGATCGTGATTTTGACGACGTTTATGAATCTATTAGTCCTATGAAAAACGTGTGTAGGCTGATAGTTAAGAACTTACTAAGTATATGGCTTAATATTCAGCGAGTTATAATGAAATCTTGCAAAAATACATGACTTTGCAATAACCAATTCTCCAAGAGAATTTTTCAGTTTCATAGATTTGACTTCTTTATAATATTCACAAAGGTGTATTGTTTTGCATCCAACTGACCTATTGTCTATTCATTTCTGCATTTTCATCGAATGGACTGTATCCCCATATTTCTTTCGTATCAATCCCGCTCACTGTTTCTCGATATCTCAATTTATTTTTCGCTTCTTTGAAGGACCCGAATTGATGATAAAAAACCTTTTTGAGGATAGTTCGTCTTTTATATTTGTGAAGTGGAATATAATATTGGTTTTGCCCAACAAAGGTTCTTTCCAAAATTCTATTCTGATGTCGTGTTTTGGATCGTACTTTTCAGATTTTATTTAGATTCGAAATTTTATTTTACATCATTGAATTGTTGAAGATTTGAAGAGGGTCTGAATATCGGATTTACTTTTAATGTAAAACATGAAAACGTAAATTAATTTTATATTTATTTGGTTAGGTCATACATAGTCGTCAGGGTTATTACAAGTACATACATTAAAAAAATTAAAAAGTTAATCCCTAAGCTGATAAATAAATTGACGCAATGAAGTTTTAATTTATTAATTTATTTATTTATTTATTTAAGGAAAACCAACAAAGCATACACCAAAATACATGATAGGTTTTTTTACATAATATTTTAACACTCTATAGTGTAGCCTTAATTACAGGCTGCCATGACATGCATTATAAAAGAACAGGATATTACAACAACAAAAAAACAAGAAGTTCGCTTATCAAAAAAAAGGCATCAATTTCAATCACAATTGTTAAATTTAAGTTTTTACATTTTTTTTAATTTTTAAACTGTACAATTTTGATCTGAATATGTAGTGCATATAGTGCAGTTTAACTCTGTGAGAATGACCTACGCAGGACAGTTTTCACTTTAGAAAGAGAATAGGACATATCAATATCCACACTAAGTGAGCATGACAGGCGACTAAATTGTTCTTGCATTCTATTAATTGAGGAAAAATGACCCAGGCTTGTTTTAAAGCCTTTACCTGAAAACAGCCGATATCTAGACATTCGAGCCAATGCACGTTTCAGTTTAATTTTCAATCAAACACACTTCTTTATAAATCCAAAGATACACTAAGGGAAAAATGGCTCAAGACATGTATCGTCGACGTGACCACGCGCAACTTATGTCCACTGTGACGTGTTGTTGCCGGACATGTCGACCAAAGTCCAACAACATCGCGCTACTTCACCCAAAATCGCTGGCGTCACGTGTCACGAGATATTTTGTCCTCTAGTGTATCTATGCCTTAACGGAACATCGTCATCAACACAAATAGCACTCAAAAGACAACAGATACTTATGAAAATCCCTTTACAGATGAGACCAATGACCGCTGGTGGGGTGAGTCAGCAGTGCCACCAGCTCCAGCAGTAGCTGCAGTTCCTCCTCAACGGCCTACAGCCTCCACTAGCCTTAACATCACTAGTATCAGTAGAGATGAACCCTCAGCGTCACCACCACGACATCATCTGGCTAATGATGGTAAGACGAACACTCATTTCAAAAGTCTTTATTTCTATTTTTAAATAAGCAAATTTGAGTTGTTCATCGTTGATACTGTTTTAAGATTTAAGAGAATACTGTTATAACATTTTAAAATGATTTCTCAGATACATGAAAAATTGAAAAAGCCCCGACTGTAAAATTAATTTACTATGCTTCAAATATATATTTACTATGCTTAACAATTTATTTACTATGCTTCTGAACCAAACTTGTTTTGATACTTTTCATTTGATTTAATATATAACATTGAAGTGCATACATACAAAATTATCAAGGTAATAAGTAGACGTCCGTTACTACTATTTTAATATAGACATGATGTACAATTTTGAAATCCTGTCGATGAGCTCTTTAATTTGATACCCATATTATGCAATATTGATAGAAAACATTTTTTTTACTGAAGCGTCTCATGCTAATTTTTTTAATGTCGCTTGTCTAAAAACACTTAGGCTATCAAGACGTATGTAAAGATATAGCATATGTTTAAATCGGTTTTGTAGTTTAGAAGGAACGAGCCAGTGAAGAATATTACACTCATACACCATAAATAAGATTCTTATGTGCGAAAAACAATATTCTTCCCACAAAAGGAAGGGTAAAAAAGAATATAAGGCTACAACTCTATAGTACCACACTGCAGACTATAACTGTGGTAGCACAGACTGATATTCAATATTATCATTTATGAGACAAATATTTTGACTATCAAAGTGTTTGAGACAGACAAAGTGCTTAAAAATAGTGTTAAAATTTACATAAGTAGTGTTCAAAAACAAAATCGTGATTTGAAACTCAAATCGCAATATTGGCAATATTATCATAACAATCACTATATGTACTTACTTACATAACTTAGGCTTAACCTTCATAACGGTAGCAGACTTCAACTACATACACCTAGTTCCAATACACTAACCATCCTTTCACTAAGTAATTTATAGCCGTCCCAACATAGTGAATTATTTCAAGGAGCTCTATTGAATGCCGTAGTTTACTCGCCCAAGTTTACATACAGGATTCGGCAATATGCATAATTACCTGCCTTGTCTAAACAAAGATAAGTGTTGAGCCGATATAGCGTTGTTTAGGAAATATATACCTGCTTAGAATCAACACAAGTCGGTCCTCATAATCCTTTTCAAATACCAATTTATTATGTCATATTGTTTATGTTAAATCCCTGCTGTGAGCTATTTTTGCGATTAATCCTTAGTTCATTATAGGCAAAGCAATTTAGCTTGATTATGATTAATATTAATTAATTAAAATAACTCGTTATTCAGTGTTAGTAATGCTCAAATCAATTATCATAATGCTTCTTTTGTTGTCTTAGTGACCTTTTGTATAAGTAAGCAAATGGCATTTGTAAGCCAGTAATTTATTTCGCTAAAATGATCTACCATTTACTTTAGCGGTGATGGCACTATTAATCTCTAGCTGTGTTTGGGTCTTTTCTGACTTATGGACACAATTTTCACTTTAGAATACTGAACAGTACTGAGGATTTTTGAGAACAAAAAGATTTGAATAAGAATGTTGATCCAAGTGGTCGCAGTGTAGAAATGGTTTGACAGCAAACTAATGCATGGCTACATATCGTCGATATGTGAATGGAACTTGATAAATAGTACGGAATATTTTATACTAGTGCACACTAACGGAATTAATACTTTTTCTTCTTTCACAGATCAATTCGACATCATTTACGTATACATCATAGCTGGAGTCGCTGTTAGTCTACTACTTTGTATCATCTTGGGCGTAATTCGCTGCGTCATGACCAAACAAACCTCCGAACAACCAAAGGGCCCAGACGTCTCAGCCACAACAGAAATCCCTAACGGATTCAACGACAGCATATCAGAAGTCGATAACGATATCAACATAACCAGTCTATCTGGACCCGTCGACACAGTTGACTCGGGTATCAAGCAAGATATTCAGTACTCCAACGTGGCTCTTAGTCCCAAAATCAATAAGTATGTTGGCCGACCAGTGCCCAATACGTATCCTCATGTGAGCACTAATATGTATGGACAGGTGGCCGAATTCCCTATAGAAATGCCTCTTCGAACTATGCCGCATGGCACGTTAGGGCGCGGAGTTGCGGTCAAAACTCTGCCAAGAGTTCAAATACAATCTGAAACGGACCCTAACACAAGGAGTTTATATCGATATTCTAACGCCCAATACTACTTCGGGTGACAACAAGACAAAAGCCAGTGTTCGGACGTATCCAGAACTTACTGTTTCTAGTTGAATCGTGTAGTGGAGTGTATATAGTTCACGGACTAACTAGTGAAGTTTGTAATGTTCTACTTTTAAATACGGAAACTGTGATATTAATTGAAAACTTTCCTATTGTACTGCGAACAGTTTTCCAACTGTAGACACAGAAAGACAGTGTGGTTGTTCCTCCGTTGTGTATTGAGAGATGGATCGTTGTTAGCGGGACTTTGTTACACTGTATTGACCTTTGATAACTAAGTATTGTTTTGCATGTCGAACAAATCTGTGTGTTCATTTAGGTATTCACATTGTTCCTTGGGGAGTTGGACGTAGTTAGGGGCTGATGTATTATTAATCTGTATGTTCAAGTAATGAATTTCCTGTATAGTCGGATTGTGTGGAGAGCCTAGCTAGTATGTGGGTACTTTGGTTTCATGCCAGCTCCTGTCAGGATCGTGCTAAAAGCCAAAAAATCTTTATTTATTGTTTAACATGTTGTATACGTATGTTTTTGCGGAGAATTCGCTTTGTTTATAGCTTACTAATTTTCTTTCGACGCCTCCGGACGTTGGTGGTTCGCGAATTATTTAAATTTATTTGTAATTCAAAGAATGAGTTGGATTGTATTCTGTTCATGTTATGATTGTTTCTGAAACTTTCGATGTAAGTAACTTCAAGACTAATAAAAATTGTTTGTATATTGTAAGGAACCCATCTGTTTTTGAACAGGCTAAATTGTGTCAGATATTTATTATATTAATAAATGGTATAATATATTTGTTTACATGTTTAATTATTTATGTAATATCTCAAATTGTAGGCGTCAGTTTCACAAATATGGAACTAATTAAATTTTCGTTTTGACATCAAAACTGTATGTGATTCGTGTTATTGGCAAATTGCTTTTTGTGTCTACTAGTAACGAAACATAGCAAGAGTTGAAAACGTTGTGCAAATGATTTAAAATTGGTTGGTAATTAGTGTTATAGTTTGTATTTGATTTTATAATAATGTTCGACTGTGTTAATTAGGCTAATTAATGACTATTCGCTGTATTTACTGCTAATAAAGTTGACAGGATTCGTTATACAACTTGTAATTTCAAAATTATTAAATTGGAAGTGAAAATGGTTTGTAAAACATCGACTATAAATGTCAAAAACGGAATCAAATTCCGTAATTGGATGGCCAATTAATTTGTCAATGTCTTATCTTGATTAGGTATATTATAGTTAACATTTATATGGCGTCAGAGGCTTAACCATCTATTTCTGTATCAGAAGTAATAGGAAATTCATTAATTTAGTGGGTATTAATTTTCCTTTGAATTTGTGTCTCAAATCAAAATCATAAAAGATACACTAAAATGTACATACACACTACATTGATACCATAATAACCAAAAATGACTATCATTAATAACCTACATATAAATGCCCACTGCTGAGCAAAGCCTCTTCTCACACGGAAAAGGTTTGATCATCATTCACCACGCTTGCTCATTGCAAGTTGGCGATTTCAAACTAATAATCAGAAATTTTAAGCCTAGGTTTCCTCACGATATTTTCCTTCACCGTTTATTAGTGGTGTCTAAATAATCTTAAAAAGTACATATAACTCGGAAAAAGTCATATTGGTACTTGCCGTTGGTAGGTTTCGAACCCACCACGTGGGCCACCACGACGAAATGACTATCGTATATCGTGAAACCACTAATTATACATATATATAATAGATTCACGACACTCGCAACAGTGCTGAAATCACACACATACTTGAAAGTGAACGATGCAAATACACGGATGCAATAAGGCCTGTTAATTGCTTGATGGATGCGGCACTATTAGTTCCCGTTTGACAACGAGCGGTGAATGTGAACTAACTCGTAAAGCGAAGAGGGGAATTTATGATAATACACCCATTTGCCCATTAATCGACCTTGTTACTGTGTTGATTGACATTGAATTATAAACTGTATTTAATAGAACAATGGAGCTTTATTGATTGATTTCATTTTGTAAGAAAGGATTATTTTTGGGTATAAGTTCAAGGACTCTGAGTCTAAGTTATTTGGGACCCGATAGATGGAGATTACATTCGAATAATATCTTCGAGTTGATTTTCAGGCAAACTGAGTACAGATCTTTATTGCCTACTTAAAACACATACAATAAGCACAATCACTAACATAAACGGTATGAATGTGATATCACAAATATCAAATATTTTAGTAAAATAAACCGAATAATGCAGTGTATTGAACCGAGTATTTTAGTACAACTATTTCAGTAAATGCCTGTAACTATGCGTCATAGGAAACCGCTGAACAGTCTAGAGATATCATATACAATGTCTAAGCACAAGTGACACGCCTCGGTACCGTACAAAGCGCTAACATAATATGATTTGTGTAACTGTGTATCTGCAAACAATTATGGACAGACAACATGTGGAATAATATTATATTAATATCTGTTTGTATTTCGGTTACATTGAGACTACCAGACCAGTTAACATTACCTATTTAGCTTGAGTTTTGTGTGGTGGTGATATTTTCTCGCATTTTGGCAAGTTTTTGAGGTCGATTGCGGTATTAAGATTGCGCATCGTTGTCGTTTTATGGATGCTATCATGGTTTCCAGTTTCCGAAGTAGTTTTGGTAGCAGTCTATAGCTATCTTACAACTTCTAACTGGCGCTTTCATCACCAATATTTTATCAAGTTATAAAATCTGTGATTTTTGGCACTCATAAATAAAATCATTAAAACACCAATCACACGCCATAAAGTGATTTCATTTCCAAGTACACTAAAGATGTCTTCAAGCTATATACCATATCCGAGCACAATAAATGGGAATCCAATTAAAAACTAGTACATTACAGTTAAGTTGGGGACAGCTAGTTGTCACGTCACAAATTAGGTGACACTCGGATTCTCGCAGCGTGCAAGACTTGGACGTGTTCGCCGACCAATTAATGTTCTCCGTGACTCTCACGATGCCGATGTACCGAATAACTGGATTATTTCTAAGCGGAGATTTGCCACCGTACCAATTGTAGGGTTCCAGGAAATTGCTTTAGATCCTAGCCAGGGACTTTAGCTTCAAATAGATTCTATCGAGAAAGGATTTAAGATTTTTAACTTTATTTTTTCCATTGTCGGCTTTGTGTCTGCAGTTTTATAGTCTTTTTTTAGACGCTCCAAGTTAGCTCCTTATTCAGTAATTAATAGATTGCCAATTTATCTAACCTAACCAAAGAAAGACAAGCGTACTCTAAACTAATAATTGGTACATATTGACTTCTTATACTTCTTTGAACGGGAACTAAGGATGCCAAACCCATCGCGGTACAAGATATCATATAAAACAGTACACACACATCTAAACATCATAGTACCTACACAGATATATCAACAACAATATAATATAAAAGTTAAAGACTCGCCACACAAACCGGCCGGTAGCGATACGTTCCGGCTTGAAACGTAACTATGAAATACTGCAACAGATTAGAACGCTCAGATTGTAAATCCTATTTTCACTCCATTGCCGCTCACGACCCAGACACCGCAGTCGCCGGCAGTCTGTCTGACGTGCCTTTTATATGGGTACTTTTATTTTCAAATAAAATTGAATTTGTTAACATAATTTTTGTTCAAAGAAAATTTTAAATTTTAGCTTTGAGTTTGAATAAATGTTTCGAACGTGATTGTAAAATATTTTTGTAACAAATTCAAAGCAGGATAATGGAAAAAAACAAATGATACGTATTTAAATCGTGTTCTTTGACTTCAAAAGTTCGCGTGTCATTTGTTTATTCATAACTTATTACTTATTAATCATAACTTTACATAGAGCAAACTTGTAAATAATCATAAAAAATACATTATAAATTGTATCTTAAAGCCATAACCTTAATTAACACAGTCGAATGACAAACAAATAACATTTTCAAAATGACTGACTGTAAAGCCTATCCAGATCACATTAGTTAATATTTTTAATTGTAAAACTAATAAATATCTGTGTACAGATAACTTTTTATGTCGTACATCGATTTAATATTAAAGTAATGCACATTATTGTATCGTTTTATTTATTTACCCTTGTTGTTGAAAAAGATAGAGAGAGAAAGAGTATGATAACTAGAGTAGAAAACTGGAGAACTAAAGTATGAGTAGATTAAGTATGAGAACTGCAATCTTGCGGAATGTTTATGGAAGTTGAGGAGATTCATTGTCAAGCAGTGAACAAATACGGGCTGTTGACGGTGAGATAAAAGTCAAACACCAATCTATCACGTACAAAAAATAAATCAAGGGATTTTGACAAATTATTAGGTAATTGCATACTGTATAACATAAAATTTGACATCAGAGTGCAAAATCGGCAAGGGTAACAAACAAGAAACGACAACGCAGCAATTTCTCGATATCGAAGCACATTCACAAACGAGCTCATTCAAAAACATCTCCTGCCACGTCGGTGTAAAAGCAGAAAATTGCTTAAACGAAGCAATAAACAAATACAAGCAATTTTGACGTTGAGCTATAAATAACAAATGCAGTTGTCGAAGCTAAAGTAGCATGTACACAAGTATGCATGCACACAAGTATTTGTATGTGAGTTACGTAAAGATCAAATTGCATTGACATTGGGTAGAATAACAAGACAGAATTTCAATGCTAAAGAAATGTTCTAGAAGAAACTTCTAGCGAAACTTTGTAAGTATCAATGTTTATAGTATCTTGGTGCGAGGTATGAGGTAAAATGGATTCATCGTTGAGTAATCGCGTTGGTTATGGCTGATATTATCAGCTATCAGTCTGAATTGTCAGTCTTCAAACATAAACTGTTAGTACTGTTTGTAGCTGTTATGTCATACCGATAATATTATAAAGTTGTCGATTTCTGGTGGAAAATATATATATTTTTTTTTATATGAGGGGCCGACGTAACTTAAATTTTTTAAAACATACATGCTTCCATTGGGTTTCAAGAAATGTTACGTTCGAATCACAATAATAAAAAAATGAAAGAAAGTGTAATGACCAATACTAATAAACTGTAAATTATAAAAAAGATTTTATACACGGAGAAGTTTCTTGTAATACAGTTTTCTTCTTTACTGGATCTTCTGTATTTGCTTACATTGCACCACAAAGCAGATCCAGTGTTCGACAACGAGGTCGATAAACGAGTTATGACCCATAACTTAGTCTCAAAACACTGCAGTATTGGAGACGTTTTGAGTATTGCAAAAGATTTTAAAGCAGGAGACATACTTATGTTAGATCTTAAAACTTTAGAAGATGTTATAAAACGAAGTAATAATGGATAGGTATCGAAATTTAGCGATTCATAAGGGAATTTGTGTTATTATTACAATTTATTATTTTTGCAAGCTTGTTCCCGAAATTCTATCTTACTATAGTTGGTGTGCTACTACAATTAACAAAAATTAAACATTTATATTATTGAAACTCAGAATAACATACCTAATAATAATAAAAAAAAATCTTTATATTTCCAATTTTTTTTTAAGTTTGCCCTACACTAGGATTTTCCCTGAGTTGTCGGTGCGTTATAAACATACAAGTTCACATATATATGGCACCCAGCCCCGGAACAACAATCTGTGGATCACATAAAGAGTTGTTGAATCGAAACCGCGGCACAATGCGAGGCAACCTATTGCCCAACCACTGCGCCCACTGTGTAGTCAAAATACTCTACGGATAC